CCACGCGCAATCCCTTCTCCTCTATTCCCCTCTAGGGATTTTGTGCACACTTGCATACATGCCTGCCATGTTTTTCAAGCCACTGGGTCTGCAGTCAAACCATGCAGTCAACCAAGTAGGATCCAGCCGCCTTAACCGCCATGCTACCGGCTGGCATGTTAGCTTCACTTTATAGATGAGGAAGCTGAAGTTCAGAGGAGTTCAATACTTGTCCAGGATCACACAGCAGGCTGGTGGTGGAGCCAGGCTTGGTAGCTATGACTGCCAAAGAGATCTCCTTAGTTCCCCATCAGCCGTCCTTCAGTTTACAAAAATATGATAACTCACCAAAACAGCCCAACTTAAATAGTACTTAACTTTGACTTAAGACTATACATAGAGTCATGAGTGTTTAAAGAAATAAACGTCTAGAAACAATTCGTAAGCTTTCTTGTTAATCCTTAGCTGTTATCCATCATGGCTTACTCTAATCTTGAACTTATCTAGGCTTGATTAAGATACTTTCACTAATGTGCCTTAAATCTTTTATTAACCTGGCATCAGACGCTGGGCTCAAGGACAGCTTAGAAGCTCTTGCCAGCAGGTGGCAAGGATGGCCTAATGGGAGAACCTTCTGCCGTCCTCCTCCAAGGCAGAAAACTCAGCCTGTATCCTTGGTTTTCTCATCTGTGAAATGGGAAGTTGGGGTTTCAGGAGCAGTTAGCTAAATTCCCTTCCATCAATTTATGGATCTAAGAAGACAACATTCCACTCTGCTCACAAAGAAAAAATGAAGTTAGGTCGGCTCCATAGCCTAGTGGTTACGAGAGCAGGATCCTTGGGACCAGCAGGTGGCATAATGGCGACATCACAGGACTCCCACATAGTCAACTCTGGTTCAAATACCAGCTCCAGTGGCTTAAAACTCCTGCAGGATGCATGTGCGTGCGTACCCAAAAATCCTGAGACGAGAATAGAGAAGGGATTGAGGCGTGGACATCCCCACTAGGGGATGATTTCTTGCTTTCTATACCTCTGTTTCCCTCTGTCTTTCCGGTGAGTGTGTGCACCCTATAACAAAAACCTCTAAAAAAAAAGAGAGAGAGAGTATAATTCTATATGACTAACTGTGGTTTGACTCCCGGCTCTAGCAGCTTGAAAGATACACGGGGTGCATGTGTGTGTGTGCCCCAAAGTTTTACAGAATGGAAAATTTAAGGAGAAAAGGTTGTACATGATCACACTCCACTGGGTGGTGCTTTTCCCTCTCCCTGTCTCTCTCTGGTGAGTACATGCACCCTCTAGCAATTAAATAGAGATATAAAAATCTTTCCAAAAGGGACTTGGCCTCTTTGTAGATAATATCTTGAAATATTAACTATTCCGTTCGATAAATACCAATTCCCTCTAGACTGTGCAGTTCTTTGAGGACAGTAACCACTCTAACTCCAGCACCTGCTTCAGTGGCTACCGTCAAGTAGGCGCTCAGTTAACGCACAAGGGCAGTGTCTCTGTGTAGAGCTGTACAACTGACGTGTAAAGCTCCCAGGCAATACCAAGTGAGGACTTCTGGATGCAGAGAGGACCCCAAGACCTCTTTTCTGAAAGGTAGCTGTGGCTGTGAAAGGCACTCAGGGTGGCAGGGCCTGACCCTAAAACAGCTGAGAAGGAGGTGAATGACCTCTTAGACCCAAGGAGAGAAGAGACCACCGAGAACAGCTGGCCTAAGCCACACTCCCCAGTGCCCACTCTACAAAGGGACCTTCCTATGGTGCTAAGGATGTGGAAGGTCGGAAAGGCTGATGCTGGATCCTGAACGCACCCAGCCAAGGTTCTCCAGAGCCTCTGGTCTTCGCTGTCCCTGGCATAGTGTTTGCAAGCAGGTGCAGAGGTGATGCCCTATTCTGACCTTACAAAGGGATGTGCAAAACAGCCAATTAACATCTGCATGAAGAAAGATATTTATGTGGATAATAAATACGCACACACTCGTTCAATGTTTTCAACCGATTTTTAAAATTTTAAGTGTATTTATTTATTTCTTCCATGAAAGATAGAACTAGGTAACCACAACAGGGTCTTCACACTGTGACCCACCCCCATCCTCAGCCTCAGCCAGCCTGGCTCCTGGGCACATGCACCACCCTATGTACAGGGAGGCCTCAGGATGTGAACCCGGAACCTTCCCACGGGAGAACAGCATCACCCCTGCACCACCTCTGGCCTCTCATCAGACATTTTCATTGGTGATGCCAAATTCCCTCCTGCTTCTCCTGGGTCTGTTCTGAGGCTAATACCTCTCTCAGAGGCAGCTCAATTTGGAGGGAGGATGAAGGCTGGGAAAACAGAGCACCAGGCATTTGTTGGTTCATGGTATCGTGTAATGAATGGGTTGATGGAATGTCCTCTCTCTTCTCCCGAGTCTGGGGATCACAGACAAGAGGGAACCCTCTGCCAGCAAAACTTGGAGGAAAACAGCTGCTGCGCCTCCTCCTCCTCCAGACATCTCCCTGCCTGGATCTCAGGAGGCACATATCAGAGCATGTCACCACTACAGAGAGCAGGTGGCAGTGCACATTGCTGCACTGATTAATGATAAGCTGTGGCTCATCCTCAGAGGAAGGGCACTACCCAGCAATGAAAGGGAGCAAATGGGGACCGGCAATTGGCATAATGGCTATGTCGCTGGACTCCCATGTAGTCGACCGTGGTTTGAGTCCCAGAGTCGGTGGCTTTAACTCACGCCGGGCCCAAGATCCTGAGAGGAGAATGGAGGAGAAGGGATTGTGGTGTGGCCATCCCCCCACGTCCCAGGGGGTGGTTTCTTGCTTTCTGTCTCTCTGTCTTTCTGGTGAACACATCATTAACAAAAAAAAAAAAAAAAAAAAAACCTCTCCAAAAAAAAAGAAAAAGAAGAAGAAAGGGAGCAAATGGCTGGGCTGCCTAACAATACAGGGGAATCTCAAAAAATACCTGGTTAAAAAACAAAAACGTGGGGCCACCAGGTGACATGTTGGTTTAGGCACTGGGCTCTCATGTGGTTGACCACAGTTCAAGGCCCAGACCTGATGGCTTGCTTTCTCACTTTCCCTCTCCCTCTCTTTCTCTCTCTGCCTCTCTCTGGTGAGCATGTATGCCCTGCAGCAAATTTAAAAATAATCATAATAAATAAATAAGTAAAAGTCAATAAATTCTTTTTTTTTTATAAAAAAGTACTCTTTGACTCTATTTATGTGAAGTTCTAGAACAGAAAAAGTTGATCTGATGAGATCAGATCAATGGTTGCCTACGGCCAGAGTGACAGGGGAGGGGCCTGAGGGGACCTGCTGGGTGGTGGAAATGCTCTGTGTCCACTGAGGGCGGTTACACTTCGTCAGGACTCATCCAACTGTGACTTCGGATGGGCGACATTTTTTTTTTTGGAGAGGTTTTTGCTATAGAGCACATGCACTCACCAGAAAGACAGAGAGAGACAGAGAGATAGAAAGCGAGAAATCACCCCCCAGGGGGGATAGCCACGCCGCAATCCCTTCTCCTCCATTCTCTTCTCGGGATCTTGGGCACGCACACACACGCGCCTGGCGTGAGTTTAAGCCACCGGGTCTGGGACTTGAACCGCGGTCGACTACGTGGGAGTCCAGCAACATAGCCACTATGCTAACTGCTGGTCCTGTAAAATGGGTGACTTTTATGGTTTAAGTTATTTGTCCTTAAAAGGCTTTTGAGGATCAGCCCCATCCAGATTCCATGTGACTGCTACAGTTCAAATCCCAGCCCTGATGGCTCAAAAAATACACTAAGGGTGTGTGTGTGTGTGTGTGTGTGTGTGCCCCAAATCTCAACAGGATAGAGAAATGGTGAAGAGATTGTGGAGTGACCGCACCCCATTAGGGGGTGCTTTCTCTCTAGCAACACACACTCCCTCTCGTAAATTTTTTTTTTAAAGGCATGGTTCTTGTTTGATTTTTATGTAGCCCAATTAAAACTATGAACTTTATTTTGTTTTAAGTTTTTTCAATTTTATTTCTTTTTAAAGATTTATTCACTTATTCAATTTTATTCATTAAGTCTGGACTTCATTGAGGAAGCAATGAGAAGTCAAGGGATTTGGGTATGCTTTGCTTTGATTAAATAGCAAGAAGCCCACTCAAAGCAGATCAGAAAAAGAGGGAATTTTTCCTGAAGGGTCCTGGGGCAACTCACAGAATTCAAGGAATACCTTGGGGTTCAGTGGCTTCCTATGCTTTGAACAGAGCCAAATTCAGCTCTCCCTCCAATAATCTCAATAGACTAGCACAAGTGTTTTCCCCACAGCTGAGGGCACCACACTCAGAGAAGCAAGTGACTGTCCAGAGACAAAGTGGCCATGCCACATGTGTGACCCAGGTCTACCTGGTACCAATGCCTGCCCTGGAATAAGAAAGAGTTAGCTCAGAAAGGCCCCTGAGAATCACAGTCAAGCAGGTAGAGGGAAAGAAGAGGGGATGGGGGCCACAGAACTAGGTTGCTGGCTGGCAGGTGACAAGGTGCTTCAGGTGCTGGACTCCCATAGGGCCACCTGCGGTTCAAGTCCCAGACCTGGTGGTTTGCTTTCTCACTTTCTCTTTTGCTGGTCAAATTTTAAAATAATAATTAATAAAATAATTATTTTTATAAAGAACTAGGTTGCAACTGCTGAGCAAGAGCAGTTGATGGGCCAAGGGACTAGAGGGCAACAGAGGGGGACTCGGAGCTGCAGATGGCCTAGGGCCTAAGCGACGTAACTGGCTGGGGTTAGCTTTCCAAGAAGGAGGATTGCTGAAGGAGGATCCGCGTCAGTTCTGAGCTTGCACTGACCTCGGTTCCTCCCTACCTCTGCCACCCACCCCTCTGGACCTCCTGGCAGGGAATGTGCTCTGGTTCAGGACAGCTGGCAGCCCATGTGCTTCCACCCCCAGCCTCTCTCTGTACCCACTCCCAGGTCATGATTCAGGGACAGGACAAGGAGGCCAAGCTGGGGGTGGAGCCTTAGAGGGAAAGCAGTCATAGATCCAGAAGAATATAAAGGACCTCTGATCTCCTGGCCAAAGATCCTTTGCTGTGCCGTTCTGCACCTGCCCAGGACCATGGTAATGCCTGGTGGCTGAGTCTGGGACTCTGTCACCTGTGTTTTCCAGGAGCTTAGGGATGAAAACTGGCACTAAGGGTCTCTCCTAGATCCACTAAGGGCATGAAGGAGTGAGGCTAGGGTAGCCTCCTTTGCCATTTTGATGGCCGGGAGAGTTGCCAGGGTTTCCTATCCCTGCTTGGGGTGGTAGGAATGAGGGGGCTTCCTGGTAGAGAGGGTTCAGGGGTTCTGTACCACGTTTATGGGCATCGTGGCCTGTGAATCTGTGTGTGTGCCTGTGTTGTGGCTACAAAATTCTCTGTGCATAACTGTGGGTGTGTGGGTGGAATCCCTGCGTG